AATTGCAGGTTGTTGCGAGGGATTTTTGGGCAATTGCAGGTTGTTGTGAGGGATTTTTGGGCAATTGAGTTCAGTGAATCGAGCTGGGTTCGATGTAACCCAGCAAATAGGTTACATCAAACCCAGATCTGTTGGGTTCTGTCAAACTTCAATGGAAAGAACACCGTTTATGGAAAGAAGAAAAACAGTAACCGATGGGTTAGTGGTGATGTGGGACCCATTTGAATGGATTTGGCGCGATTTCGCCAGGTAGCATGTGACATGGCAGAAGTTTTATTCATATTATCACTTTTTTAAGTTTTGCTCTCCACGTCATCAAAAAAAATATAAAAAATGCCACCTAAGCAGGTTAATGGCACAAATTAATAGAAGGACTAACGGAGTGCATTTTGTATAGTTAAGGGATCAAAAAAGTATAAAAAATTGTTGAGGGACTAAAAATGTACATTTCATAAGGTTAAGGGACCAAATTAAGCATTTAACCAAAAATATTTGAAGTAGTTGTGTTTTGTTCAACAATAAGAAAACAAAAAATTAGAAAATTTGAGCAATTATTTTCCTAATTTTTAAAAATTATAAAGGGGTATTGACATATTTGTTTTCGAATTTCATTTTTTTTAATTGAAATTTCACACCAGCCACATAAATGTTCTATAATCTAAGGTAATTACATTTTAATAATAAGAAGTAGTTATCATATTGAAAGAGACATTATCAATTATCTCGAATGAGGAAAAGAAAGTTAAGAAATTAAGAGAAATAAAGTTGATCATGAATTAGTTCGACAGCAAGTGGCCTACTGACCATCCCTCGTAAGAAATAGTACTTGGACATCCAAGTCCTGAGTTTTAACTTAAACAATTACCTTTACCCTCAATTTTTCAGTGTAAAAAAAAAAAAAAATGTTGATCATGAGTTAGAATTATGTCATGTAATGTCTGTAAATTGTAATGTCACATAATCGATTTGATATAAAATTTTGTTGAGAAAACTTACAAAATATTTGATAGTCAGAATAATATATAACTAATAAACTAAAGATTTAGACCTTTATGTATTAAAATCAAGGGTCTAAGACTAACACTTAATAAACTAATTAAACATTAAATTTATCGGCATACAGAATAATATTATCTTGGCACTATTTGAATTTTGAAGTGTGACAAAGGAGAAAAGAAAAGGAAAAAAAAGGAAAAGCAAGAAAAAGCAGAAAAGAACTTGGATTTTTTTTTTTTTTTTTTTTTTGGTGAAACAAGAACTTGGATTTCTGTTGAGCATAATGTTGATTGTTGTCTCCAGACACACCTAACCT